TCTTGATCGTCGCCTTATTCAATTGTCTGTAATGAATACACATTCGCCAGGAACCATCTTTCTTTCTCACAAATAACATAAGTGCTCCCCACGGTGATGTACTGGGTCTGATAAAGCCGTTTTCAAGCAAATCCCTCAGTTGTTCTTTCAACTCTCTCAGANTTGGTCCTACATTAGTTTGCTTACGACGCATTTTTACGTACGAAAATATAGGGTGTAACATTCAAGCAAATCCATCAGTTGTTCTTTCAACTCTCTCAGCTCTGCAGGTGCCATTTCATAAGGAGGAATAGATATCGGCCNATATCGGCTGAGTATCTGGTAATGTATCAATAGCAAACTCAATCTCCCGCTCTGGCGGAAGGCCTGGAAGCTCATCGGGAAAACATCGGAAAACTCATTAACCACCGGGATAGATTGAAGGGTCGGTAACTCTTCTTTCACATCACGTACCGAACTAAGTGATAAATATAGTCCTTTTTGATAATCTTCCTTGCCTTGAGATAGGAAATAAACCTACCTCTCGGCGATGCAGTATTACCTTTCCACTCTAGAACTGGCTCCCCTAGAAACTGGAACCGTTTGATATACAATCAACGTTAGCATAACAAGAAGCCAATTAATCCATACCCATTATAACATCAAATTCTACCATATCTAGCTCAATCAGGTCTGCTACTGTAGAACAACTAAGTACTGCTACTATACAATCTCTATATACCTGTCTAGCTATCACTGGATCCCCAATAGGTGTAGACACCTCAAAAGGTTTAATCAACTCAGGTTTTATCCCAAACTTACTAGCAACCAACAGAGTGACGTACGATAAAGTGGAACCTGGATCAATCAATGCATATACATCATATGAGGAGACTGATAATATACCTGTAACAACATCAGGTGATGACTCATGATCCAGTCGACCCACTAAGGCATAGATACGGTTTTGAGGAGCGCTCGAGCTAGATGCTCCACTTTTGCCTCTACCACGACCGGTTGGTGCCTGTGAACCTTGCCCAGGGGGGCGTACTGATGATGACGAACCAGCTACAGATCCCGCTGGTTGAACTATACCTGCACCACCTCTCGTCGGACAATATCTCATAACGTGGCCTGGATAACCACAAGTATAACAAACACCCAAACCCATGAGGCACTGCTCGGCATGCTGCTTACCACACTAAGCACATCGTGGCAAGGGTAGCCTCATCTAACTTGACTCACCCCTATACTGAGAACTAGAGGCCCTAGAACTCTGACTGGGCCCTGAATATATGGAATGATCAAATCTCCTACCAAAAAACTGAGGGGGTACACTAGCCGATGGCTGGGCTGAATACCTTGGGTATTTCTGTCTCTAACCACCTCGAAACTCACCAGAAGGACCTGAAGATCTCGCTCTCTTACTCTGGACCCTATCATGCTCACGATCAGCCCTCTGCTTCTGCTTACGCTTCTCTACACCCTGAGCGTATGCCTGAATACGATAAATATCAATGTCTGGATAAAGTGAGATCGACATACAGTCATTAAGTAGGTGCAGCTACAACCCCATCACGAATCGATGAACCCGATCCTCTATCTTAGCTACAGTAGTGGGAGCATACCTAGCCAAAGAATCAAACTGAAGGTTGTAGTCCCGAACACTCATATTACCCTACCGAAGGGTCAAGAACTTAGCAACTCTGGCTCGTCTAAGCTTTGGTGGTAAATAATGACGAAGAAAAGCCTATGTAAACTCCTGCCATACTGCTGGAAGGGCATCCTCACCTCTGGACAACTCCCAAGACTCGTACCAATTAACTGCAATATCCCGAAGTCTTTAGGAATATAGCTCAACTGACTCAGTTGCAGTGGCCTTCATTACCCTCAAAGTTATCTGTATCCTATCAATAAATACCTGAGGGTCCTCGTTTGGATCTGCTCCAGTGAATACGGGAGGGTCCAAATTAATAAAATTGCGAACCCTCGCACTGATGGACCTTTCTGCATGACTGATACCTACCTCCTGGCGCTGAGCCTGTGCAGCTACTAATCGAGTCAATAGCTTAATAACATTTCTCATCTCCTGACCCGATGCATCTGGCTGAGGAACTGGGGGTACTGGGGCTGGTGCTGGAGCTGGTGCCCCTCAGATCTCCTCTAGAGAGGGTAGGGTATGTGAAGTCTGAGATGGAGTCTCGTTATGTGACTCTCCCTGAGCCCTGGTAACTCGTGGCACCCTACTTGTAGTCTCATCATCCACGGACTTACCCTTCTGGGAGGTTGTAGCCTTCTTGGGCATCGCTGAAAACATAACATATCATTAGGAAAATGAATTCTTATACCGCATGATCTAAGATAAGAAAGGAAGGTAACATCCTATATGTCTTGTAGCCTCCTATTTATAAGTGTGGTGCACAACACACTCATAAACAAGACTCTACTAGACACAGTCTGCAGACAACCCTAGGATGGAACTGTNATATATATATATATACGGAATACGGAATACGGTAGGGCGAGCCGACAAGGCCACATACTATATAACAATACATGATTATCTACAGACCTCTAATAGAGTGTACAACTGTATAAAGGACGGGACTGGGCCCCGTAATACCCATACGTATACAAAAGTATCGTACCAAAACTCAATAGCAGCACCGGATCAAGTGAAGCACACCAACTCTCGCTGAGCAAGTATCCTAAGATGGGGGACCAACAGCCTGTCTACCTGCACCTGGCTGTATGAAACGCAGGCCCCCAAGCAATACGGGTGTTAGTATGAATAATGTACTGATTATATAAGGCATAAAAATTAGTATATAATAGACATGAAAGAAACACAGAGTAAAGGACTCAACCTATAAGTCTGAATAGATCTGTGAATCATGAAACACTTATAATGTCATGCATATGCATATAAATGTCATATCATGCATAAGTATATGCGTACATAACATCATCAAGCCTCTTAGGGCATCCCATCATATCATCTCAGCCTCTGTGGGCGAAATCATAAATGTATACCAGCTGATCAGGTGGTGGTGCGTATATAACGCCATAACCTTTCCCCATACCACATATACATATACTATACGCGTATATAACACCATCTGGTCATGGGTCAGTATACATGTATAAATGGATGCAATGCATAATGAAGTAAATCAGTAAGATCTCTCCGAATGTCATGAGACCCATGAATAGACGATATGATAGTAGGACATATGGGGAATCAAGAACATAGGCAACCCTAGTACTTCTAGGAATAGAATTATTTGTGAAAGTTGCGTACTTGCTCGTTTCTTGCATCATATGGATCGTGCCAAAAAGGAAAGAAGGGATAGCCTTAACATACCTTATCACAATATTTTCAATCACCAAGTTGAACTCGCCTCTCCGTAGCTTAATCTACAACAACAATAATAATACTATCTTTAAGTTACGAAAGGTACCACAATCGCATAACGAACGACAAGCTTATTTTGTATTAAAACGGGCAGCATCTCCCCTATAATCCTTACTTCCTTCAAATTCAAGATAACCCCAAACAAAAAAATATCAACATGTATACAATATTTTCTAATCTTATATGCACCACAAAATATTACAAAATAGCCCAACACACCCCAATCTCTTCATACACAAAACGACCACCGTAGTAGTGTCAAGCGGCCCGAAAATATTATGACGAATGACCAGTCCACCACCCTGCATTTATGTGGTATTTCTCTGCAACATTAATCCTCCAAAAATCTACAAAACAGTAGTAAAACACGCATCCCAACAACAACACAAAACAATCCACAAAACCGTCTGTTACAAGTGAATAACTCGAATACATGGCTTTCGATCACCGTCCCGTGAGTTCTAACTATTAGAAAATGAATTTATCAACCATCCTTGATATTTAAACACTTAAATACAGAAAGTACATGTTTTCCTAACTATGAATTACCTTCCAAAACTCAAACTACAAAGAAAAAGAGAGGCGATATAGCGATACTTATGTTGTAAGGATCGTTTTAATGTTATCATTTTTTGATTCCGTGCCCAGGATGATAATCTTGTTTGAAGCTCTTGCAGAGAGCTTAAGAGTAAAGTTTGGGTTCTTATTTGGTTTTGTGTTCTAGAAAATGGAAGAAAGAAACGTGATAAGGATATAAATATCTATTTTGTTTGAAAAGTCAAAAGGTGCTACTTGGCACCCTAGCATTGGTCTTTTTTCTAATGCTTATAACTTTTTATCCGGGTGTCGTATGAATAAACGGTTATAATAGTTGGAAACTACATTCCAAGACCTTCAATTTGGTATATAATATGTCCCAAAAGACCTCATATAGCATACAAAATATATTTCTCACAAACCTCTGTTACAAGGTAAATCCTTAGTTGGCTTTTTCGCTACTTTAATCCGATTTATCCCAAACTTCATATTTTCTATCCAAATATCATATTTATACATATTATGACTTTAAAATTATTTAAATCATGATTAAAAAGTCTCATATTCATTACGTCACCTTGGGACGCATATGGTGTAACATCTTCATACAGCTGACTGAACGCAGCAGTCTTAGCCTCCGTGACCGCTAATTTTGCCTCCTTCCTAGTCTCCTTATATTTTTCTCTGTTCGCTCTCTTCCGCTCCTCGTCGGTACTCTCTACTAACTTAAGGTAAGCCGCTTTCTTTGCTTCCACTTTACCTTGCACTATGTCATTCCATCACCAGTTGCCTCGGTGCCAGCCAGAGTAACCCTTCGAGACCCCCAATACCTCTCTTGCCTCCTCCCTTATACAGTCCGTCGTCGCCGTCCACATAACGTTAGCATCCCCACCAATCTTCTAGGCTCCCATAGCCGTCAGCTGACGCTCTAAATCCCACGCATTATCTTTAATCAAAATTCCCCACCTGATCCTCAGTTGATCCTATACAAACCTCTTCTTCCTCTTTATCAAGATACCGACATCCATCACCAGGAGCCTATGTTGTGTCGCGAGGTTCTCACTCGGGATCACCTTGCAATTCTCGAACAACCCCCTATCACACCTCCTGAGGCGAAGATAGTCAATCTGATTCTTAGCCACCATACTCCGGAAAGTAACCAAATTTTTCTCCCTCTTCGAAAAATAGAGTTCACGATCACCAACTCAAAAGCTCTAGCGAAATCCAACACTGAAGTACCACCTCCGTTCCTATCCCCAAAGCCGAAGCCACTGTGCACCTCGCCATAGCCTCCGGCAAACGACCCAATATGACAATTGAAATCCCCTCCTATGAATAACTTCTCCGTAGGCGGAATACCCCACACCACCTCATCCAGCGCCTTCCAGAAGCGCCTTTTAACCTCCTCGTCCAAGCCCGTTTGCGGCACGTATGCGCTAATGACATTCAGAGTGCTTCCTCCAACTACTAACTTAATCGCTATCAATATGTCATTCACCCACCTAATCTCTACCACTGACTCTCTCAGCTCCCTATCCAATGAAATTACCCACTCCGTTCTTGCCCTTCAGGACTCCGGAGTACCATAATTTATACCCTTCTGCATTCCTCGCCTTCGATCCTACCCACCTAGTCTGCTGCACACACGCTATATTGACCTTCTTTTTGTGGAGAATTTTGCCAGCTCTATAGACTTACCCGTCAACGTCCTATATTCTACGATCCAATTCTCAACCTACAGGCGCCCTTGTTCCCCTTACCCCTTTGGGCCCATCCCACCCCCTGACCCTTACCCATAAAAGATAATTTAAATAACTTTCTTAATTAACGTTACTAAATAATGGGTATGCCAAAATCTTAAAATTAAAATTAATTATAGTGGATGGAAAGGATAGGGAGCATTTACAATTAGCTAACCCAAATTGACTCATGGTTATTAACCTTCCACACGGAGTAGTTAGAAATATTGCCAAAGTACAATCACTTCACGGCGTACGATTATCTCACATCACATAGTTCAAAATGATCTGTAAAATTAATTTTTTAAGGTATCCCACAAAAAGTATATTTCATGTATTTTCCTTCATATCAAATGCATGTTAATATATGATTTTTCCTTCGCCATTAATGATACCAACAAACTCCTGCCAAAGGACCCTCTTTCCCACCCAATTCACCTGTATAAAAAGTTAATATGCTTCACTCAAATCCCCATAACCTTAAATAAATCACACAAAAAAACAAAAGAATGGAAGCTCACAACTTCAATATTCCACGGCTGATACTAATTGTTGTCCAATTCTTACTACTAATAACTACTTCTTTAGCAGGAAAAGTTCCAGCAATTATAGTGTTCGGGGATTCCTCCGTTGATGCTGGCAATAACAACCAGATTTCCACTCTTCTTAAGAGCAATTTCGAGCCTTATGGCCGTGACTTTTATGACAAAAGACCAACAGGAAGGTTCTGCAATGGACGTATTCCACCAGATTTTATATCTGAGGCTTTTGGTTTGAGGCCATTTGTGCCAGCTTATTTGGATCCCATGTACAAAATTTCTGATTTTGCTGGTGGTGTTTGCTTTGCTTCTGCTGGTACTGGTTATGATAATGCTACTTCTGATGTTCTTGTAAGCTCTCTTTCTTATTCTACTACTAATTGCTACTCCATTCTTACTCCTATATCTTATTCCCTCTTGTTAATTAATTTGAGGTAATATTGATTGATCAAGAAATTTAAGAAAAAAATTAAAGAAATATTTGTGTAGCTACTATAAAGTACTACGTTATTAAGGGTAAATAAAAAATTTTAAGTTAAATTTTTGAGTACCACATAAAACAAAACAAAGAGTGTACTATTTATGGTCGAATTTAACTTATATACACATTGGCAGTGTATAAGATTATTATAATCAGTTTATTTTAATAAGCTGTAGTATAATGTATCTGATTTTCAAGTTATTAATTTCACTTTTGTAGATAATTATGTCATCTTTTAAATGATATAATTATGTGATTTTTTTTATATTACTGTGATCGGCATAAGCTGATCCTAATGTTTATACGAGGCATAAAGCATTTTTATAGTGTGAGATAGTCGAACCTAATATTATTATTTTGATTTAAATTTTATATTGTTTTAAAAAATTATTTAATATGTACAAAATATTACTCTATAGAACTCAATGACAAAAATTTCGAATTCATAATCTTTAAATTCTAACTTCACGTTAATATTATTTTTAAATGAAAAAAGAACAGTGATACGTTGTGTTCTTTGGGTGGATGGGTTATTCGTCAGCCACTCTCGTGCGCACACGGGGTTGCTTTATAAAGAAAAGAAAATGCTTTGTTTTTATTAAAGTCGAAAACCGTTGCTCCGAATTGAATATTCGTGTTTGTCGATGAAACATAGTGTCAAAATATATTTATTATCCACATAAATAGGTGAGTGCGTACATATTTTATTGATTTTGTAGTACTTCTTGTTACAATATTATTTTGGAAGAAAAGTGGTAAAAGTTTAGCATATCAACAGAAAGTACAGATTTAGAGTATTATATATTATTAGGTCTGATTTGCTCTTTGGGAAGGATAAACTGATAAATAATGCGATGAGTACAGGAAAAACTTACTGCCCGCACCCCAAATCTTTGCACCAAATTTAATTAATTTAACACTTAGAAGACAATATTAAACTATTAAAACAAGTTTTCTTATGGGCCGGGTAATATAATATACAACAATTTTAATTTTTTTTATTTACGCTTCACATTCATTTTCATGGTTTATGGAGTAATATTCATTTCAATAACTTTGATCTTGAATCTGCTTTTTTGATAGATTTTTTAATTATCAAGTAAAAGTTTTGGTAAAACTGAATTACACGTGTGATATATTTATAGGTGTATTGCAAGCATTAGGGGTGAGTAAGTTTCTTATGAAATTGATGCAATATGCAACATGTTAAAATTACTGCATGTGCATTGTATGCATTTAACCAATAATTAATTATCGAATTACTACAAAACTATATGTATATGTTAAGAGTTTAATTAAGTTATATACACGGTCTAAATTGTTTTATACCATTAGGATACTTATATATTGTAGCAGGTAATTTGTCTTATTTTTAAGATTATAAATTATACATTTTAAGTAGATTTTCTTTGGGTAACATGATGGTGTAAAAGTTTTACACTAACAATGTATATATCTTAAATTCGTATGCTAATAGTATAATTCTTTTATGGGTAAAATATTTGATTGGCTTCAATATGTTCTTCCTTTTCACAGAATGTGTTACCCCTGTGGAAAGAAGTAGAAAACTACAAGGATTATCAGAAGAAACTAGAAGCATATGCAGGCAACAGAAAAGCCAAATACATAATAGAGGAATCCCTATATCTTATCAGCGTGGGAACAAACGATTTCTTGGAAAATTATTATTCAATGCAAAGCAAACGTGCATCTCAATACACAATAGAACAGTTTCAGGGTTTCCTTCTTCAAATTGCAGAAAAGTTTGTCAAGCAAATTTATGATTTAGGAGCTAGGAAAATTTCCTTAACTGGACTTCCTCCTATGGGTTGTTTACCTTTGGAAAGAGCAACTAATTATATAAGAGGAAATGGAGATGGTTGCAATGAGAAATATAACGAAGTGGCTACACATTTTAATGGGATGTTAAAGGGTTTGGTTCAGAAGTTAAATGAGGAGTTTCCCGGGATTAGAGTTGTTTTTGCTGATACCTATGATCTCATACTTCAAATGATCAAAAATCCTTCCTCATTTGGTAAGTTTTTCCTTTCAACTCCTCTTTTATTTATCCATTTTTCCGTTAAATAATTGACTCATAAAATTAGGTTAACTTTCTAACTTTTACATGTCAAGATTTTCTCATAGTCACCACAATTACAACTCATACTCATACGTTTCAATTATATATATATTGAAGTGGGTGATAAATACTTTTAAGCTTAATTAATTGGAACTTCCAATTCTTGTGGTCTAAGTAATAACGCATTGCTCCTAAAAGTAGCTAAATCCTTCAAATCCTATTTTATTCCGCTTAGGTAATATTTTATTGTCACAATTGTTCTTCCTCAAGTAAGTAATTTCTAGCTAGATACTCGTAATTAAAATTTACTAAGTACTACGTATCTTCTAATTCCTAAAAGGTCTTAAGGTAATTTTTCATTTCTCCGAAGGATCCAGCTTTTTCAATATATATTCTTTCGCTCTAATTTATGTGATGGTATTTTTTTTTTTAATTCTTTTCAAAAGAATAACACTTTTCATAATTTGTAAATAATGTAACTAATTAAATTTTTTATTTTACCTTTAGTAATATTTTTTTATGGCTACACAAATATTATGACATATATTTATTACTATTTATCAAAGTATTTTTAAATTCTATATTTCTTAAACTCTATACAAGTCAAACTATGCCATATAATTTGAAAAGAATGGAGATATACATTTCTTTTGATTGATTACTTGACGGTCTTCAATTCTCATGATCATCTCTTTATGTAAATATGATATTTTTGGGGTCATTATCTAATGAATTGGCTCCCTTTTACTTGCAAATCAGGATTTGAGGTGGCAGGTATAGCATGTTGTGGCACAGGATTATTTGAAATGAGTTACTTGTGTGATAAGTTAAATCCATTTACATGCACAGACGCAAACAAGTACGTGTTTTGGGACTCTTTCCATCTCACTGAGAAAACAAACCTCATTATCACCAATTTCTTGATGAAAAATGTCCTTGCTGAATTTTTATAGTTCAACAATTGGAAATTCATATCAAGGATTTTGTACCTATGTAAATTTTCGGAGCATTATTTATACGTTGTATTGCTTTAAATTAATAAGTTTATTTAATTTTCTAGAATATTGTGTAATATCCAGAGTTTGAAAAAAATATATTTGTATATATTAGTCATCTCAATCAGGTGATGATATCTGTACTTTTCGTTTTCGACACGTTAAGTAATGTAATTTGTCTTAGAAACTTGATTGTCTTATTTGTATTTTAAAGAATTTTATTCCTTCGTTTAAAGATTTTACTATAAGTTATTCTAATTTTCTTAGCCAATTGTTTTTCTCCTTGAAGTACATTAAGATTTAGGCTCTCAAAACAGTCAAAATTTTCCCGTAGATTATAATTTGTTTAAGAAAATGTTATTGTTTCTTATCCAATAAGAATCATATTTTTGGGAACTCTGATTTTTTTTTCAAGACTCCACAATAACATGTCGATAGATAGATCATCTAAACAATCAAAATGCTTTGGAAAATCCAAATGAAGTGAGTATAGTTTTATAAAAACTATACTCCAAAAAATTAACTTATAGTTGTACAAAAACTATACTCCAAAAAATTAACTGTAACTTACCTCTGAGTTTACTTCAAATGTTAGAAACAAGATAAAAACAAAAAAAATGTAGTCTCACTTAATTCAACGTGATATTAATGAAAACTCTGCTAAATTCTAACTAGCTTGAAAAGTATTGCTCTTGTGTTTTAGTCCCGATCTGGAAAGATGTTATTTTTTTTGATGGAAATAAACATTTCTCCCTCCGTCTCATATTAACAGTCGTGGTTATTAAAAATAGTTGTCTCAAATTACTCCCTCTGTTTACTTTTACTTGTCCACTATTTCAAAAATAGATTTTTACTTTTACTTGTCCACTTTTGCATATCAAGAGAAAAATAAGTTATTTTTCATGTTTTACTCTTAGCATTAATTACTCATTCCAAATTA